TATGTATGTATGTATGTATGTATGTATGTATGTATGTATGTATGTATGTATGTATGTATGTATGTATATTTATCAGTGGGTGTAGTGAACATGTGGAGAAATACTGCAGAAATACTGCAGAGTGATTCATTTCTGTTCGAGTACTGTTTTTGTGATTCACAACACATCAGAGTTTGACTGTTTTATAATTTTCTAATGATTACACTGATTCTAAGTGCTCTAAAAGTGCTCTGGCCATGATTGCTGGTGCTTTCTTTTGTGTTCACTTTCCATTGTGTTGTTACCTTGGTAACCATGGTGAGTCCAAGCACGTAGCTGATGCAGCAGATAATAGCGATGAAGACCTCTCTGCGGTAACCCTTCCTTAGGAAGGACGGATACAGATCCACCAGTGATGTGATCTGCCCTTCCACCTCCACAAACTGCAGGGGAACCGAGAGATACAGTGGCATTAATCAAAAAAGGATAAATGCACTAATAAGTATCCAAAATATTTCAGTGCAACTTTTGTTGCTGAGGTTTGGCAGCACTATGTGACGTGGCTGTGTAAAATTTCAAACACAGACTAGTCAGTGGCCATTTTAACGAGTGGGTGAAGTGGAGTTGTTATTGTTGGTTCTTTTGAAATTGTGGTACAATGTGTAAAGTGTCTAAGCTTAGAACTCAGGTAAAAAGCAGAAGTAGTTCTATTGTTATTCCCTTATGAGTCTAAAGACGAATATTCAACCACACAAACCACCTCAGTTGTGGTGCGCGTCACTGTGCTATCATGCACCCACTTACAGGGCACGGGTAAGAAATACATTTTGGGTCACTCCATAGCTGAATGCAGCTCTGGCTTACATGCAGTGGCTCCCTGTGGCTTTGATAAAAACAAAAACAAGGAAAATAATTCTAACAATGAATATGGAAAGGAAAAATAAAAATTTTCTATATTAAAAAAAGAAAAAAAAATCATCAACTAAAATGTGCATCGTAGCCTACCTCAACAGGAGGTCAATAGCAAGGATATATACACATGATTGCATACGTTTTATTGGTGTTAAAGAAGTTCTCGGTCTGTTGATAATAAAGATTATTGCAGAGTGGTGCAAAGATTCAAAGAAAAATGACCTTGAAAGAGTAATGTTTGTGTAATGTAATGTTGTGGTTTTTTTAACAGTTTCTCCTGAATTTGAAACATAATCTTATATAAATCTTTTTCCAGTTGTCGTTCACCTATTAATTTCACCTATTAATGAATACTATTTGTGTCTATATTTATGCACAGAAACAGACATTTTAAAGCACGAAATATCCAGCAAAAGTCTTTTTCAAACACTACTGTATTTGTGCACAAGCTTCTTCACACACTTGGTTCTGTGGTTGGCCAATGAGCAGTTAAATGTTTTGCTTATGGGAACCTTAAAAATAGCTGACGCCTGTAAGTGTCATCAGCATTTCCTTTTATGGCGAACCTCCTGAAGCTCCAACAGTCACCCATGTGTGAAAGTTTGTTTTTCCTCTAACCTGACTGTCGAGGCCAAGCAGCAGCAGCATAATGAAGAAGAGGATTGCCCAGAGTGTAGGAAAAGGCATCATGGTTACAGCTTTAGGGTAGGCAATGAAAGCCAGGCCTGGACCTGCGGAGGAGAGGGGAAGGGGGTAAGAGCAGAAAGAAGGGGAAGGGGGTAAGGCAACATTAGAACCATATGATAAACTCATCTGATCTGCATCCCTATGGGGGAGAAAAAGAAGCCCCAAACAATGGAGACGCAGAACAGGATATGAACACATCATAAAAAACTGGCTAAATGTTGGGAACAATTATTTACTTTGGTTTTATGACTTTGTATATAGCTAGTATGCACTAACACCAAAGTATATGTAATACACATACTTACCTCTTATGAGCAACACATTATGGCACACTATAAACTGTATACACTCAACACAGCACAGTTTCATATCATTAACAATGACATATTACACTGAATTCTTACACTAAAAGGCAAACAGAAAAATAAATACAGGTAGAGTATGACATTAAATGCACGCTTTAGTATAATGTAGCTGCAGCTCTGTGGAAGTAAGTAAATCATGAGATAACTTGTAAAGCATTCAGTAAATGGATGCATGTACATTATGTAATGGAATAAAACTGGTACATGGGTTATGTGGAATAAAATTACCAAAAAGACCATACAACACCACAACACTGCAGCAATTCTATGCAAAATATAACCTCAACTGCTAAAGACGGTTCAACGAATTCACCCAAGCCATTTTGCATTCCTGACTGAAATTAGGATGACCCTTTCTATAAGGAATGCAAAAGGACCAATGCAAAACAGCAGCAGATGCAAAATGAGTGGTCAGATAAAGAGCAAACATGTTCTTTTTTTCTGTAGTTTCTTTTTTCTTTTTTTAAATGAGGTCTTATTTGACTTGCTACATCGGGAACTATACAACAGAAGTCAAAGAACAGGGAAGCAGCCATAACAGCGAAACAGCATTGCAGCTGATAACAAGATGTGTCAATGTGTTGCATTTTTTGTAGCAAATTATGATGAGGCATCCAACCAAACACCGCGTTGACTCAAAAAAAAAAAAAAAAAAAAAACAAAGAAAGAAAGAAAGAAAGAAAACAAAAACCTTTCCTATACCTGAAACAAACATATGCTATATTAACTCAATGAAATTGATCAGTCATTTCTACAAATACTTCCAAAGCTGCATTTGAATGCCATGTCGTGTGTGCTTACATTCTACTGTGAAAACCACAGTATTCTTTGAGTATTCAGTCAGCACATTCTGTCGTGCACAAAACATTCAAGCATTAGCAGTTAAGGCAGACTTACTTCTGATGATTTGGGGCTTTTCATAACCTGCTTGCCCGAGTTGGCTTGATGAGCATGCAGATGTTCCAATACTTATTATATTCTGCTGTCTACGTAACCTTCCGTGTTCATAGACCCACAAACGTGGACAAACTTTCTAAGGCATGAAAACCAAGCTGATAACCATGATATGCAGGGTGCTCGACTCAATTCCTCTGACCAACACTTCTTTTCTAGTTCCCTGTGGAGCATCAGCCCACTCACCAAACAACACTGATCTCTGACAGTTCTGCACACCCCACCAATACGTTGCCACTCTAAGTGTATATAAACTGGGCTGGCAGCAAGGACAGTTTCTCTTTTTTTGACATTAGCAGACTGAAAGCTACATTTTGGGTTTTTTTCTTGGTCGATCATGGGGCAGAGATGAAGATCAGAGCATTTGATGATGATATACCAGAAAAAACAAATATTAGTATAGATTTCAAGTTTGTGACTCATCTGACAAAGCTTCATGTGCCAACGCATTTGAGGGTGACTTATACCTTTGCACATCTGCTTTTAACTTAAATCCTGTGATTCTGTCTGAAAACTACACTTCCTACGCTGAAAAGATGTCGACACTTACAATTCCCTCAAAGCCATTTTCCAAAATATCTCAATCTCACGATGCCGTGAAAACAACTACTCTTTTTCTTTTACCTAAAGTATACTGATAGTCATGCATTCAAAACAAAATCATGTCTTACATGGACAACATGATTGGAGAGGAAAAGAAACCCAAACAGATAAAGGTGCTGGCTCTAGCTACCATGATTAAAAACAACAAATAAATAATAGAAAGAATCAAGAACCACATATGCCGATGTCACGCAAAAAAAGGAACCACAATAATGGTGGCAGGAATCTCTCGTGTACACAAAAGGAACAATTCAGAACTACATCACGTTGGCACAAGATCCATGTACAATATGACACAGCTAATTCTAAGTGCACTCCGCTACAGTTTTCAACGCGTGCCTAAAAAAGCACAATCGAGTTTCAAATGCATCTCAGCCCCAACTTGTTTCGTTCGAATGAGCGCTAACAAATCAAGTCAATATTTCTACTTTTTGTCAAGGAGTGTTTGATTTCGGAAGCTTTTATATTCTGATGCCGTCATTTAAGATCAATCAGCGAATCCATTCAATTCCAAATTTCAACTCATTTCGAAACTGGACGTGTAGTCGAATTCTCACTCAGGTTTCGTTGCTGTTTTTCTTCATAATTGCTATTGTTTTATTTGTTAACCAGGAAGCAGCGCCCACCATCACTGCCGCCTTTACAGAACCCTCGTACCTGACTCTGCCACATCAGCAATGTCCACCCCTTGCTCTTGTGCCATGAAGCCCAGGACGGAAAATATTGCGAAGCCAGACACAAAACTGGTACCACTGTTGAGGGCTCCCAGCAGCAAACAGTCCCTATGTCACACATATGTCATGAGGAGGATTTGTTAATGAACACACAAGGATCCCTTTAGCCCCCCCTCTCTCCCCTATCGCTAACCCCCTCACTGAAAACTAATGGCTCACCTGTAGCAGTTGTATTTGTACTTGTTGTAGCTCCCCAAGGACGTCATGGCACCCAAACAGATGGCATAGGAGAAGAAAATCTGGGTGCCAGCATCAATCCACACCTACCAAGAAGGAAGTGGGGACAAAAAGGCTGAGGCTTGCTGATGGGGGGGAATTTAAGGGGATTTTGTACAGCGAAGCAAGTGGGATAAAACTGTGTTTCTGGTTGTTTATGAAAAACCTTTTTTGGCTTTTCTTTTGCCACATTTTACAAATCAGTGTGCAGGCATGTGTTTTGTTGCCATTCAACCAAAAAAAGGACAACAGCAATTATATTATTGCGGTCTTATTTCCTTGTAAACCACATGTTCCATTTTTATGAATTCAGCAATTATGGAATTTAAATTTGGTTCTTTTCTGTATGAACAGCCGGACAGGTATGTGGTCAAACTAGTGAAGGAAAGTTATAACAGTGTTTTCTTGCTCATGCACCTCAGGTTAACACCTACCTCTGGGTCCTTCAGGCGAGTGAGGTCAGGATACAGGTAGAATTTGATGCCTGCAGTAGCACCTGGCAGCGTCACACCACGGATCAAAAGCACAATGAGCATGACGAAAGGGAACGTGGCTGTGATATAGACCACCTATAAGGGGAGACCACAGGTACAGAAGAGCAAGGTCACACATTTCGGAGACAAACTCTAAATGATCCAGTTTGAATTATTTTACTGCCAATATATTAGCTTATCAAATCTCCATCCACAGTAGTTTTATTTTGCCAGCTAGCTGATACTCTGGCTTTATTACAGATAATGGATTTGATCAGTGTGTGAACTTGGGAATATTTTGGACAACAACAGACCACAGGTGGTCCGTTAAATCAATAGCGGTGTACCAGTATCTCTTATGTGGAAAACTGTGACCACATTTGGCCTTGCAGGAGTGACAATAATACAAGAATTACAACTTGGATCAACTAGAAAGTATCAATCAGGTCAGCGCAATCAATAAAGTGTGTTAGGGCTATAAAAAGAGCGGTCTGGGATTGATTGCCTTTGGTCTTGGAGCAAGCTGTTGCTGCTGTTACTGCAGCAGCAATTCAACGTGGTCTGAAATATTCCCTATATTGAAATACCCAAGATTACATTTATCCTGCAATACTATAGAAAAATGTAGAGAAAATACCAATTTATAAAACAGACAGTTTTCACTTGTCAAGGATATATTAGGCTGGAAGTGAACTGTCATTTTTTTAAATTGATGTTGGAATTGGGAAAACTGGCAAGCATAAAATTTCAGCAGCTGTGACAAGGGCCAAATTAAGATGTCTAGACAACAGGGTCAAAGCATCTCAGCAACAAGAGTTCAAGAAGGGTTTGGGCAAAATGCCAAAATGCTCATGGCATTGACTTGTTGTCCAAACTTCTTAGACCTTCCTTTGACCAGGCATCTGTGTAGCATACTAGGAAATGAAGTGTAACATATGAAACCCCCCTCACGCTCTACAGATTTGCTGCAAATGTCTCAGTACCTGTAAAGAACAGGAGAACTTGTGTCTCAACAGGCCAGAGACATTGTTGTAGCACAAGCAGGGGCATACACATTATAACACTAGTGGCTCTTCACTGTAGATATTATATTTAGTAATAAAACAATTGCAATCTACAAATTCTTAGGTAATTTCTTGATGCATGGAAGCACCCAATATCAATTTATCAGACAAAAATCCGTAGTGATTTGTCAAGCAACAAGAAATTGTGTTACAACTTTGTCCTCTTTTAGTCACCATTGACTAAATTCTGCACACAGTAGTGTATTAAATAGTAATATTGTAACATTTAAAACATGAATTATGTCACCCATATTTGCCTTTGTTTAGTTTGAAAACCTATGATCTTATTTTTGTATTTACACAAGGAAATGTAAACATAGCAAATTGTTCTCCTGGTCAGACCACAAAGGCGAGAAATAAAAATCAGATAAGCATGACCATGTCTTGGATGTTAGCTGAAATTAATGTCCTGTAAAAACCAGGTCCTTGTATTCTAAGAGGAATAAAGAAGTGACGAAGCAATGAACACGAGACACTACAGGATATTTACCTTTCCAGTGGATTTTACGCCCTTCCAGATGCAGAAGAAGCAGATGACCCACACAAGCAGTAAACACAGGGCCAGGTCCCATTTAATCGGGCCGATCTCGTCTATACCACTGGAGATACCGAGTACATTATGCCTGTAATAATAAATAAATAGGTAAATAAATAAATAAATAAATAATCCTCTGTAGGTGTGTGTCTGCAAGCTGCAGGTTTCATTGCCGACTTTCTACCTCACCTTGACTGAACTTTTACATGACAAAGAATGAACAATTGTTTGTGGTTATGCAAGTGTGCAGGTGTGTGTGGTTTTATGTAACTTACTCCCAGAACTCGGTGACGGGGGAGGTGAAGTTGGAGGCGTTGGCAGCCACCCAGAGGGTTTTGTTCTTGCGGTAGGTGTCCTCAATGCAATGATCAGTGTTCCAGGGCTGATTGCACTTGGCCCAGGGCAGCTCAGGCTGAAAACACTGGGATATAATAAAAAAATAAAAAAAAGATAAATGATGACAACTGCATTATTACTATTATTAATAATAATTACTATATTCATGTTCTGGTAGCAGGCTAGTCACTTCTTTATGCAGCTATTGTTGAATGTGTCCCCTGAAAAATGTAATTTTAGACAAAACTTGCATGGCAGTTAGCTGGTAGTTAAATTAACAAGAATCAAAGATTGCACTACCCGGATGTAAATTCCTCACCTATCTCCATTGTAAATAATACATGCCTGAAACAAGTGGAAAATGAAATGGAATATTCAACAGCTGTCTTTCCCCCCCTCAAACCTACCTGGAACAGGTAGTAGAGGCCCCAGGCCAGGATGACAATGTAGTAGATATTCAGCAGGGACACAATCACAATGGAAGCATAACCAATGCCTGGAGAGAATAGAGAGGTTCAGGGGATTAAACAAGAAGCGGGTCATCAAACTATTAAATCACTATTAATAATTATTAGTTATACTATTACTTTTCTCTGAAATAATATACAACAATTTCAATATTGCCATTTTCTGGCACGTCAACTTGTATAAGACATTATATTTTAGTGACTGTTTCCAAAGCCCCACAATTTTCAACACACAGTTTTCTTGTATAAGAGGAAGAGGTTTAATGCTAATGTTTGATTGGCCACAAAAGACGACGAGACCAGTGGCAGAGATGTTCAAAAGAAGGAGAGAAAAAAACAAAAACAAAGATTTGAATCCTAAGCAAAACTCTATGGGAAATTTGTGTAAAGCACAAGATGGCAGTGGTTGTATATATGATACACGCTTTTAAAAATAGTTTTAAAATGTAAAAAAAAAAAAAAAAAAAAGATAGAACTGAAAATTGCAAACTTGGATTTCACTAGATAAAAAGATTTCTACAAGCCAGTCATTGCATCCTCACAAGTTTGAGTCTCAGTGATACTTCCTGTTTTTAATGGTTTTGTGCAGTAAGTGTTACATGCGCTTAACAGAATTTACAGTGCAAACTGCAAGATTTGTACATCTGCAGAAAAGTCAGCAGTATCAGATCCATTTTTTTTACAAAATAGCTAGTCCTTATAAAATGATATCACAAGTACAGGACAACATTTACCCAATACAAGGTCTAAAGCAATCATTTATTTCTTTTTTAACCTTCAGTTTTAATTATAGTGCATCTAATATGTTTAATATCAGCTAAGATTCATTGCATCAGTACTGGCCTTGAATGACTTGAATAAGCTGGTGGTAAACACATGAGTTGTGTGTGCACTCCTGTGTGCTCTTATGCACTACACAAGGATATGAAGGGAAGAAAAACCCCAACCCTTGCTTCAGATGAGAACAGATGTTGAAACTGGGATTTGGACCAAGATTTGGACATGGATTAGATTTTAGTTTAGAGGTCACCGACGGTCCTCGTAAGTATATCAGAAAAAGCTTTGTATTGCTTTTGTAAACACAGCCGACTGAGGCCACTCATACAAATTAATGTCCTTCAACGTCACTGGCCTTCTGTGTGTGTGCGTGTGCGTGTGTTTGTGCGTGTGCGTGTGCGTGTGCGTGTGCGTGTGCGTGTGTGCTGGTGTTGTGAACTGCCTGACTAAATTCTAATTTGCAATCTGTGTCTGTGCGTGTTAGTGTGCTAATGAATGCATGGAATATTTTAACATTGTATTATGTTATTTTAATCACTGAGCTAATTGGCAGCATCATAACCTCTATATGTCTAAAAAACACAGACATGCACATGCTCACAAGATACACACAAACACTTGGATCACATGGTACGCTGCAAATCAAAGAGCTGTGCCCTCCTCCATGACGTCACATCTTGCGTTCATCTGCTGACCTTAGAAGCCCTCATTTTATGAATAACATATCACAACGTTGCCACCCATGTGTTTTACCAAGCTTTGTTTCAAATCAAATAAGGCCAAGTTGTAATTTTGTTTACCCTCACTGACATTGTGTTCATGTTCTGTTTAGCCACAACAACTCAATGACAGTTTTATTCTTCAAGCCCTCATAACTTTCAGTTTACACAGAAGCAGTAATTTATTTGTGTAAGAGTGCGAGATGCAGTCTACAGTTCTTGCTGTTTTTCTATTCCTTTCTAATACTGTCTAATACTGTCTAATACTATCTGCTCCGTTTTTATTGGCCTCTCTTTGGCCTTAAAGCCAAAAAATGCCATCAACAGTTCAAATTTCTGAATCCAAGCTAATCACATCACATTTCACTTTAAACCCACAACATAATATATTGCAACAACAAATACCAGTAAGTCCATATTATATTTGATAATTTTTTGCTTGGATTTTCTCCCCTCGTTTATAATGTTCTTTTTATTTTTTCTAAGTCTTGTAGTATAGACCTTTCGCTTCTGTTTCACTCATATCCTCTATTTTGTCTTTTGCTTTTACCATGCTTTGTTTTCCCCCCCCGTCTTCCTCTAATTCCCTCACTCTCATCATCTCTTCTCCATTCAAACCTCTCTCCTCTGTTAAATCCCTCTCCACCTTTTCCTGTTTTTTGTCAATCCATCTGTCTGGTCCTCAGATCTGTGCTCTGCTTTTTTCCCTCTCTCTCTCATCATCTCTCTGATGTGTTTCTGCGCTGTTGCCATAACAACGTGTGATTCAGGACACTCTGTACACTGTCTTGAGAGATTGTGTGTGTGTGTGTGTGTGTGTGTGTGTGTGTCTGTCTTTGATATCCATGTACAAGACTGCAAGAGGATAATGTGTCTGAAAAGAAGAAAGATTGTGTATTTATGTGAAAGCAAGAATAGCAGGACAAGTAAATAATTAAGATCATAAGAAAGAAATGAATGTGTTTATAGCTCTGAACTAAATCCATGAATGCATTTCAGAAATAATGACTGTTAATGTGCAATTGCTGAAGATGGAGCAGTATAAATATTACAAAAAAATGACTATTCAGAATTGAACAGACAGGGAGGAATACATTAACCTTATTTGGCTGGTAGTGAACAGGAGGAGAGGGGGAGGTGAGAAGAACAGTGAATGAAATGAAGAAGGGGAAGTGGAGATGCCCAGGGCAGAAGGACAGGAGGGAAAAATAATATATAAGACATTTAATAACAGGAGGAGAAAGAAGACGTTAGAATTAAAAAAGAAGAAGAAAAAGAAAAGACTTGAGCTCAGTAAAGTGGAAGAAAATAACTACGGAGGACCTGTCAGAGTACACTGAAGAAATGCCTCTTGGCAGGTGTGAGCCAGAGAAGGTTAAAGCACAATAGAGTCCTCAGTATGTTGGTGTACCAGTGCAGGCTTGGCTGCCTGGTAACGGCTGCAGGGTAAAGTCTCAGCAGCCTGATTGGATGAAAACCTGGTGTGACTCAGCCTTATGTTACACAGCCATTTCTCAGTGGAAAAAACAGAGGTCTGGAAAAATTCAAAGTCTCGGATTGGATATGGAAAGTACTCTGCACTCAGTCAAATTGGCGGGCTATCAAAAGAAGGGGAAGTAAGTGAAGCTGAAGTCACAGGTACAAGTGCAGGTGCAGGTGTATGGAAAGAAAGTTTTTTTTAAGTCAATAACTGGAATTTTATGATCATTATAATACCCAAGCTTTCAATGAAATAGTTATGGTGATGTGTCTGAAATTACTGATTCAACAGCAGTAAGTAATGGGTTTCCTTGAGGAAAGTCCTCATGAGACAAGTTACACCCGAGACAGAGTTAATTAGGGTGAATACTCCATCTAACCACCACCATAATCTCCAGTTTCTTTATTTTAGAACTGATATCGTGAGCACCTATAATATGATTCCTAAGAAAAAGCTCATTATTTGAGCAGGGAGGATCTAATTAGGGACTACATACCAGTAAAGATGGGACAGAGCTTCTCCCAGCAGGTAATGCCACCCTCAGAGGTGAACTGACCCAGGGCGACCTCCAGGAAGAAGACTGGCAGACCTCCACCAAACAGGAAAATGAAGTAGGGGATGAGAAATGCACCTAGATGGGGAACACAAGGGAAACCATTAACCTAAAAATATGACCCCCATGAGTTGACATAAATTGTTGCAGCATTTGAAAGCCTTACCTCCACCATTTTTATAGCAGAGGTATGGGAAACGCCAGACGTTCCCTAAACCAACAAAACCCCCAGCAACAGACAGAACAAAGTCCAGCTTGCTGGCCCACTTCTCTCGCTGGGGGTGCTTGCCCTCTGCTTCATCTTCAGGCCGGGTGCCAGGACTCTTACCGGGAGATGGTTTCAGAGTGTCCTTATGGAAGTCTTTCAGACACTGAAGTTTCTCTTTTTGAGCCATTCTATTGAAACAGAAGACAAAGAAGAGATCAAGTCAGAGCTGCATTCATGAAAAACAAAAATATTATTAATGTATAATAATTAAAATATATATATTATTTTTGGTGCCTTCTTTCATGAATGCACTGCATTTTTACTGAACGATTGAGACTGAGTTTTTCAGTTGTGGCAAGGGACTGAACTGGAGACAAAGAACTGTGAGACTAAACACATTAGCTGAGGCAGGAAAACTGCTTAACAGTTGCTTAAGATTCAGGAAGTTGTAAAATTATCATCTGCTTCACAAACCATCCCACTGAATGGCTATTATCAGTTGTAATCACTCCCACAGGCATTACCAGCAGGTTATGCACCCACTCATAAACCATCAGGTTAGGCATCCTCCATTTTTGTCAGTTCTAAGAAGAAAATGACCAAGAATATTTAGGAGACCTCCTGTGGTCATGTAAATAAGTGCATAAAAAATTATCTGTTGGATACATGAAACTGATTACTGACAAAAAAACAAACAAACAAACACCCCAAAAAGAACTGTATATCTTTTTTTTTTTTTTTGAATGCTCACCGAGAGGTTTTGTTGCCTAATCCTTACTAAATAGCACATGAAAAAGAAAGCTGGTAAAAATAAACAGTTCAATTTGAATGCATTTTGTTCAAATGAAAGCTAAAACTGATCAGAGTCAAGATAAAAAGATTTGAATATATGGTAACACGTTTAAGATGAAACCGTAAAACTAGTCTTCCTTCTTCGGCACTTCCTCATTGAAACTATTTAATATGGAGCTGTGATTGGCTGAACATTATAAGGGTTACAATGACAACTGTAGCTGTAAATTTCCATTCAGCAATGACAATGAGGGACACAAAGACAGTCGTGGAAGAGACTGACATACTTAGTAGTCAGCAGATGTCTGTCACTGTGGAAAATGCCACATCCCTCTCTTTCCATGTGCTAGGTTGCTGCACCCTCTAGTTCTTTGTCTTCATCTTTCAATCTTATTGTGTCTTTCAGGATGATATTTACAGAAGGTAAAACTGAGGGAAAGACTACTTTTCAGTGGCTATCTGCAGATACAGGCTTTGTTTCCAGTTTATATTTACCTGGATATTTAAAGTTGTTGGGTTTTTTCTCCCTTGCTTCTACCAGACCCAGGAATGTTAGTCAGAATGCATGATTCTTATGTTTGAATCAGATACAGCATGGAAGTATTTCACTTTAGTTGCACCTACAGCTTTTTTGTTTGAATTTGTTTTTAAATTGGACACAAACTGTGGTCAAGTGACTGGACATGAACTGTTGTCATGTTCAGTGTAACATTTCTTTAAAGGCTTTTATTGCAGAATAAGGTGTTGATGCCAGCGTCACTGATATCATTTCATCTCACCTGTCTATGAAGCTAAATCAGGGTCAAATGTTTTATTCATTTGAAAAAGTGCTAAGATATATAGATATATATATAATGATAGATAGATATAGATATATAGATAGATAGTATAGATAATAGATAGATATATATAGATAGTAGTAGATATATAGATAGATATATATATATATAATAGATATTTATATAATAATATATATATATAATATTAGATATATATAGATATATATATAGATATAGATATATAATAATATATAGTAGATAATATATATATATATATATATATATATATAATATATATCTATATCTATATATATATATATATATATATATATATCTCAAAACTTAGAATTTCAGTATATATATTCTGCAATATAATATATCGTTGTTTGGAGAGATTGGGGGTGGGTGGGGTTGTTACTAGTTAGAAATGAGCATTTTGGTTAAGGATGGCCACCACTCCTTCATGAGATGTTGCTGGCATGCTGGCAGCAGCCAGCAGGTATGAAACACTGTTTTTGATTATCCTGTGACCAACTGCATTGATGGGTGAATAGTTGTAACGTATTGATGTACACTAAGGTGGGTAAAAATTTACCCCAGCAAGAGAGTTATCCGTTATCTGAGCGGCTTACAGATCGCTAAGCCGCAAAAGCTATGAAGTCTGAAGAGAAACCTAAGATTATTTGTGTGTGTGACTAGAACTAAAGGGAGGCACACTCACACTGAAACAAAAGGAGAAACTACTGTGTTTTTTAATAGCAGCATTAAGCAGTAGCCTACAAATCTTATAATGAACACAAACTAACTAATGGAAATAAGTTAGTAAATCAATGATTAAATCAGGCACATAATGGATCATTCCTAGCCTCTTGTTAATTTAAGACTAGTGTATTGGTGTTTGGCATCAGCAGATATCTTCAACCAAGGTAGAATTGGGGAAAAAAGCTGTTCATGCCTAAATACTAGCTTTTTCTGCCAATATTTGGTTGACTAAGTACAAACAGCCCTGTACAATACCATCTCTCATTTCAAACAAGTTAATGATTTCACAGTTAGTGACACATATATTTATCTTCATGAATAACTTCCTATAGTAAGTTAATGAGTAATGCTAGGAGGAGAGAACTGGCTTTTTGTGCATATATTGTGTGAGTGACTTTCTGCTAGGAGAGACAAAGGACCCCTAACAGCACTAGATATGTGACATTATACCTGTATATATTTGGATTAAGATATTAAATTGAAAAAGGAAACCAGCTAGTAGACAAAAGAGGAATTCACGTGATACTGCAATGTGCTCTGTTGTGTTGCAACATCACAGGAATTAATGCAATAAGCTGAATAAACTGACTCAGGGAGTGAAGCCATTTGCCTAAAATAGCTAGGGTGAAGTTAAATCAAATACATAAAAAGAAAAGCACAACAAGATTAAAATGTTTAGCTGGGATGTACTGTGTACTACCAGTTCTTTTGGAAATTACTAGTGTAGTAGTTTGGAATCATCCAGTAATAAAACAGTTTGACAAATCGGGCACTTCTAGTATCAACAAGATGCTAAAAAGCAAGGAAAAGTGGCATAGGTGCATTTGAAGTATTCTAAAGTTCCCAAAAATTGGCAGGTACATAGGTACTTTGACGATTTGATGATTAAGCTTTTGGGGGCGCTAACAGTCTTGTGGAAGTGTAAAGTATAATGGACGGCCTAAGACATTGTACATAGCATATATGTAGTACAATCTATTGAGCTTTGTGCAAGGAGTTTAACTTGTGAAGTGAACAGAATTATATCCTGAAATGACCTTTTTTTGTCCCCAGTCAGGTGCTGGTGAACATGCAGGAATAACTTGCTCGCCAAGTGTTTTAAGTCATTTGTGCACAGGAATACACTGACAGGAAGGCCATTGTTTTCTGATTCAATTCATCATGTTGTTAAACTTACAAAGCCATACGAAGACAAACACATACCTTCAAGTTCCCAGCAGGGCCAGTGAACAAACTTCCTTGTATTAGGAAAGCGTGTAGAGGATCAAAAGTAATTCATCGTTAGGGTGCAGGGGAATGGCCTATGTTTAATGATTTGTAACTTTAAGTACTTTACAGTGAATGTAAAGTGGCCCGTCACTTAAAGTGACGCAGTGACAGTCAGTTGCTGAAACAGCCAGAATCACCTCTCATGTTTTGGAGGGAATTGCAGAGTAGCTTAAAATAATTTTTAAAAATAAAGACTTGACAGTTATATTAGTACTAGTCCCCAATTTTCAGCTAGGAAATCATTAAAGTCTCAAGAATTATGAATAGCATTTAGCTTGTCCGTTATGATCGCTAGCACTAGCTCCTTTAACTAGAAATGTTACTGTGCTGAATTCCAGTGAGTACAATTCGGTCAAAGCTGAACGATTTGTTGAACAATTCTTTTGAACGAACTGATTCTAGTGATTCAGCATACTGCAATGAATCGTCTTAAACATCACCGGAAAACAGCATCTGATGAGAATGTTTCCTGGGCGCTTCTAAGATTAGATCTTCTAGGCACATTAACTGCGTTTAAATCCTGGGGCTGACCGAGAACACTCTGAAGTGATGTGTACTCAGTCTGCCCTGGGAGTGCTTCAGGACTTCACAGGAAGAGATAGCTTTACCCCTCTGCCACATCATCTATCTTGTGTAGTCTGCTTTCACTACAGACTTGGACCCAGATAAGTGGTGGAAAATAGAAGTAATTGAGTGGTGACCATGTGTAGCTGTAGATTTAGCTGCTCAGGTGGTTCATCCCAAGAAAGAGGCATCATTTCAAAGAGACTGAACCCAATCTGTTCACGGGAATGTTGCTATTCCACGATTTCCTACAACATGACTCCCACGGAGTTAGACTGGCCTTGGAAACCACTATGAATTGTGGGATGATTTAAAATTCAGGCCAAAAGTTTTGTGCACAACAGAGAACCATTGTGTGTGAGGGTGGACCTCACTGGACCCAGACTCTGGATATGCATTCAGTGACTTCACATACTTACTACAGTCCCAAAGTACTTACATAACACACTGTCCTATTTTGAGACCATGTACATTTCCACTGGGCTGGCTGCAGCTGCCCGTTACATCCACTCTCCTCTTTTTTTGCCTCACATTTCTTTTACTCATCCCCTGCATATTTGTTTTCTTTTTTCCTCGCCCATATTTTGTCTTCTGTTAAAGTCTTCTTTTACGCTCATCACATTGTGCTTTTAACAAACATGTCAATATTAGATATTTCATTCATTTCAAATGAGCTATTTAGGCTATTCAGCCTATTAGCTTATGAGCAATGAATAGAATTATTGGATTTAGGGCTTAAGGATGACAGATTCAAATATTTTACCAAAGACTAGAGATAAGATTGGACGTTTCAGTAACAAAATAATCAACAGCAGTCTTCCAAACACAGTGAGATGCAACACAAAACCAGCTGTCCTCTGCCTTTCAAATTCCCATTTTCTCATCATCTTGGTTGACCTCCTTTGCTTTTAGTTTTTCTACATTTTCTTCATTATACATCCTTCATGTTTCAACCCCCCACAGGGCCTTTCAGAAGTCTCGACCCTTTACCCCCACCCCCACACTTTATTTCCACAGCTTGCTTCTGCTGCCCCCACCCCCTTTTCTTGTAATCACTCACCCTTTTCCTCCTGGGTCACTTTTTAAATCAGCTTGTCCTTGTTTGCAAATTTTCTGTTGTTTCCCTCCAATAGCTACCTTCCCTCTTAATTTTACTATGGTTATTTTCTACAAGGCACTCCTTTAGACACTCTTGTTTATTTACAATTTTCCCCCATTAATGCTACCTCACTTTGCATAAGTAAAGACACTTCTCGATGCTCTTTTCTCATTTTCATTTCAGACAAATAGAAATGATCATACAAAACTTGTAAAAGAAAGACAGGAAAAGAAACCGAAACACAGAGAGTGAATATGAGTAAAAAAAGAGTGAGAAATAGGTGGAACATAGGGACAAAGGAAAGAGTGACTGAAAGCTGTTAAAGATTAACTTGGATGGGGAAAGCTGAAAACACAATGGCATGAAGACAAAAAGAAACAGTGAGGTCCGTGTACACATTTTTTACTAAAAATTAATCATGCTACAGAAGGTAACGGCATGTGAGAGTCACATGCAGACAAATACAAAAATAGATGTTGGGCTGATGGACCAAAAAAGAGACTAAAGGCTTTTCTTTGAACACCAAGAATCACAAGAAGTATGAGCATGTGAGGCAACAGAAAGTTATCAAAAGTTACCAAAAGGCTTATCAAGCTACAGTTAACACTCACTGTCGGTTCTGCTAACAGATTTTTTCCACTCTAGTTCTGCAAACTATAACAGGTCAGTGGAGCTGAGCTTCAATTATTCACATACTGCAAATATGGATCTAACAATTAAACATTCAAGAACTTCAAAGATTATGGCTTGTTTTAGTGTCTCTGTAATTTCAAAGTTTTGCCCAAAACTTTGGTCATATTTTGGTTTTTAAGCGATTCCTGATAAGCTGAGGTTTATTATGAAAGAATATTGCAAGGTTTTAACCGAACCTTTCGTCATAAACGGTTTCGGTTAACAGATTCAAAATTGCATGTCCAGCAGATACATTGTAACTTTGTTGTTTTCATTTTTACCCCTCAGCTGTAAAAGGCCAATGGGGTATTGTCGTCACCTCAACAGACTGGCGCTGTGGACACCCAAGTTTGTAAATGCAATAATTTGAAAATAAGGCGACGTAGGAGTTTCAAATTGATACCATAGGTTTGTCTACTAGGAGGCTGAAGGATAGCACTTGAAGCTCTATTTTACTCATTATAGTATTCACAGGAGTTTAATTATTGATACGGTCCCTGCCACCACAAGAAGCGAATAAATCCTAGCTTATCTCCCTTGTCTTGAGGGTTTTTTTGCAACTTCCACCATATTCATCAAGTCTACAGAAGTATTGAGTTCAAGTTCTCTGGAATATATTGTGCAAAATTTTTTTCTCAGTGTCTTGTTTTGATTAATCATTTCTTTGGGGATCTTAAAAGAATCCAAAATTTCTACATTTCCTGGTAAACTGGTTTGTTAGCCACAAGGTGATGCTGATCTTTTATCTTCTGTCAGTTATCTTGCATGAAATGTATTAAAGTCAATCACCATGATAACGCATGCACATATGTAATTTTCATCAGCCTGATATACAAATATATAAGGTGTTAATCACTATCGTTGTCGTTTTCACCTTCAATAGCCAAGATAAATAAGATCTTTCAAAGCTGTCAATGCTTTTTAAATAAATGTTCAAACTGAGACCTCAACACATTTATACAGTCATACAAGATTAATGGGGCAGCTCCAACAGCAATGAGCTCATAGTGAACTAACATAATGGTGTGAATTTATGTTGCTTACCGGTTCAAGTTGGTTAATATTTAGTGCGGCATGTCTGATGTCAAGGCCACCTGATCATAAATGTTTGATATCAGCACATGCAATGCAACAGTTTATATTTTCATCCTCCACGTCAGTATAGGTTTGCATCACCTTTCTCAGATTTAATCTGTAAAAAGTGCTGTTGTCACCATGACTAAGATTTTACTAATATGCACATGCATTCACACATACGTGAATGCACACAAACACACACATACGTGAATGCACACAAACACACACATACGTGAATGCACACAAACACACACATACGTGAATGCACACAAACACACACATACGTGAATGCACACAAACACATGCACGCATGACTGCACACAAACACACGCACGCGTGAATGCACACGCATGCGTGAATGCACGCACACATGCACGCGTGAATGCACGCACGCACACACGCACGCTCCACTACCCTCAGATTACTGACTTAATAAATCATTTAACAGCAACAGCCTACAGTTGACACGTCAGCTTTCAGCAGTAGTTTGTCAGACAAGGGAACAACAAATTCCCACTACATTTTCACTTACATAAATGACTATTATTTACAATACAACAAACATATTAAAATTGAAATATACTTTGCAGATTATATATTAAAACACAAATATAAAAGACAAAGACAAGCGTGATGTAAAATCTAAGAAGTGCATCTCTGGACAGGCTACAGTGTTTCCCCACACACAGAAATGTTTTTTTATTAGTCATTTACTTTTTTTTTTTTTTTTTTTTTACATCCAAGAGGACAACACAATTCAAAATCACTTCACTACAGAAACATCACCTCTCTTAATTTGAAAAGATCAGTCCCTGCTAACCAGCTAGCTCTGACATTATCCTGAGCTTCCAGTGCTATTCGAGAGTTTCACACATCAAACTCAGCACTCAAACTCACGTGCCTTTTAAGTCTGTTAAGACCCATAAACTGTCACATGTGTAGGGGTCTTTTGCAGGCATTTTAAGCTCATTATGTGCACTCTCGTTCTTTATCACTCCAACCCACCGTATTAACATCACTCCTGACATTGTTCAAAGCTCCAGTGTCCCTCATCCCACATGATACCGATGACAGCATCAAACATGTAACTGACTGAAAAGTTTGCCAGCTTTCATAAAAAGACATGAGAATGAGGGTATATGATTCTGATAGACTGAACCACTGAACACTTCTTGATTTTCATAAATTTTTACAGCCCCTTGAAATTAGTCACTTGCCAGCAGACGTCAGTTATATGAGATTTTTGCCTACATCAGTCAAGATTAGATTAAACTCAAGGCCACTAGCAGAGAAAATACACACAGAAATGTCTCTGTCAAATCCTAACACTAGCCCTATATACCAGTATATTTTCCACTCAGTGTCATTGGGCTCTAAAACACAGAAAACTGCTCCCCGAATATAGTTAAAAGTTAACAAGAACTGGTAACTGACACTTATAAATGATTAAAAAAAGAAAACACTATTAATCTAACCTTGCACTGAAATCTATGGTCTGTGTGGGAGATGTCACACTGTTTATCAACTGTTAATCAATTCTGTCAAGGCTGAATATCCAATTTCAAACTCAAATAGTATAAATAACTTCATAGATAAGATTTTTTTTCTCTCCATTCGGTTTCCTAAACGCTTTGTAAAGGTCTCTTTGTGAAAGATATTCCATTCCAGGTTTTATCATCTTCCTGAGTTAAAAATCCTGGGTAAATTTCCAACTCTGAAACCAACCCAAAAAGGAAATAACTACTTGTTATCAGAACCAAACCCCTCCAAGGCACACTGAGGCTACCAGTAATCATCTTTTTATTCTCTTCCAACCTTTGTAAGACGTCTAAGAGCCCTGTAGTGTAGTGATTTACCCATTCACCTAACACAAGGTCCCCGGTATTGAGCAATCCACTGTAGCGACCCCTTGTGAATAAATGTGAGACCGAACGAAGCGCGTAAGATTAACGTATACAGACGAAAAACGTAATTTCTCAATACTCTAACATTTAAATAGCAATAGGAAGCTAATGATCGCTGCACATGCACTTGTTACTGGAGACGGTAAAATGTCCCCCGTTCATTGTCACAAATAGTGCAGTTACTGAGACAAAATTAAGCGAAGGAGAAAAGAAAGAAAAAGGACGAGAGAGGACGAGAGAGAGAGACGTTTTAAGGGGAAGCAGCGTGTGATGCTTTCAGAGCGACAAACGAGCATCTCCGCCTTCTCGTCTCACTTCCCCTTTCTTTTTTAGTTCAGCAACGCAATTATTCGAAACAAAGTCTATATATAATAAACCTAAATGACCAAAAATATAACTTCTCATTTGGTTTAAATAATGTGGATATCCATGGACCTAAGAATAAAGCGACATATATGTATATAAAAAAGAGAGACAAAGACTGTAAGACTCGCGTAGGCTGTAAAAGCAAATAATCAGATAACAGAACTAAATCCGCTGCTCGCCATCCTAAACAAAGACGATTTAAAATAAATAAATAAATAAATAAATAAATACAGCAAGCAAATGGTAGAAATTAATAAGATCCTCTAAAATAAAAGCATCTGACGTAGACATGTGTGAATCCGCTACATCTCACAGATGACAAAGCTACTGATGAAAACAGATAATTGTACATATTACAGTAATACAAAATGACACTGTAGCCATCTGGGTAACACAAGTCCACCAGTGATCCTTCCTAAACGCTCGCTCACCGACGAGGGGAGAACAGCCTTCACCCAAATCTACCTCACAGCTTCCTCACAGATCTTCACCCGGACATCTCGTGTATACACTGCCATCAGTAAAACCAGCAATAATAATGAAACACATGCGATGGATTTAACTTAGAAATGGACAAGAACTTTTTTCTATTCCTCGGGGTTTAAAAGGAAAGGTTTCGATTCAGACACAAAATCGAAATAAGTCAAAACATCAAAAATCGTAATTTGATATTCTAGAAAAAATCTATAAGAGAATGCATGTAAGATACACCATCATCTCTCCGTGAAATATTTTGTAGGTGTGCAACGAGGGTGCATTTTGTCTTTACCTGCAATGTTGATGTGCTTTCCTCTGTTATTTTGTCCTTTTAATGTCCTTTGAGCGCCGTCCCTTGTCCGTTTCGTCTTGTCCGTGACCTCTTGAGTCCGTTAGAGCGACTGAGGACTGAACGCGTCGGGAGCCTATATTTAAGCCTATTTATAAGCTTCTCTTCCTGACCTTTGTCTCTTAAAACTGGGGGACCAGAGAAGCAGCAGCAGTGGAAAATCACCGGCTTGCCTCCTCTCTGAGCAACAGGAGAGGTCTATGGTGCCTTCAGGGTGCAGCAGCACACTCGGATTTTTTGTGAAGGCAAACTGCGCGTTTGCAAAGCATCAGGAAATGAATATAGCCATTTAATAGCTAGTAGTTATGATCATATTTATGATAATAGTTTAAATTAAGCTATTTTTCCATGTTCTATCTGGGAATTGTTGCTAAATTAGGCTATACTTTGTTTCCGTTGTTTGTTTGTTGTCAGAGTTATTGTTACTTCAACCAGCATGCCTTTAAAGGTTATGTTGGGCCATCCAAAAAAAAAAAAAAAAAGTTGGTGTTTACAAGCATCACATGCAGCATTAATAGATATTAAAGTGCCAAGCTCTCCATTTAGCCTATGTCTTATCCGCCTCTCACCAGCACGCGCTCAGATTTTCGAGCGCGTTCTTGAATTAGCTCCACTTCCCCACACGCGGCCGAGGACAGGCGAAGAAGTGCACGTGTGGAAATAAACGATCTCTACGAGATAACACCTTTTGTGGTAACACAGATTCAGCAGCTCTTTTTAATGTGTAGCCACATTTTTATTATTTATTTATTTCATTTTATTTTTTTATTTTCACAATAGAAAAAAAAACGTTATCACAAACAAGTCAAGCTCAAATCTAAATCGAAACTAACTTGCCTGACAGAGTTTTTGTTGTGAATAAAAAGATGTTTCTGTTATTTTGTAATCCTATGCTTTGATAAGGAACTGATAATTGTCTTCCTATATTCTGTATGTTTCCGTCAGACTCTTGATGTACACTATAAAAAACAAATAACTAAAAACTCTAAAAAGCACTTTGAGTGCTCCAAGTAGAAAAGCTCTATATAAGAACCAGTCCATGTATAAGGTTATGGCTCCATATACTTTATCCATATTGGTAAATGGGTTAGGGTGATTGAAGGGTTGTTATTGGTAACTGATGTTTTGAGGCTAACCTGCCATTAACAAATAGATAAATAACACGTGGTTTGTTTGTTTTTTTTAAATTTTCAACACCTTTTGGTGTTACTGACCAAAAGGATTGTGTAGAGAAGATGTTGAAGTGGACGGAGGGGCCAAAAAACATTGGACTTAAATATTGGAGATATTTTTGTTGTAGACTCTCAACTGACAGTGAAGACAGATTCTTTTCTCTAACCTTATTGAAGGACTGACTTAAATCCAGACTGTAGTCTCACTATGTAATCTCTGATCTGGGAAACTGATTTATGGTCATTTTTAAAAAAAATGATTTGATTTTGGCCAGTGCAACTATACATTACATAGCCATCATGAGAAAAGTTGGATATGATGGCAAATATGTTGCAAAAAGCAAGCGTTTAGATGAGACTCATTCATAACTGGAACTTGCAAAAATTGTTTTGAGTTTTTTTGTTTGTTTGTTTGGGGTGGGGTTCAAGGAAAGATTATTAATACTAGACAAGTTGAAACTTGCAACCTGTTGTTGTTGTTGTTGTAAGAAGGGCAGTGCAATTTCTCAGAAACTTTAATGGAAAATTACAGACACAATGTGACAAAACTCTATTCAAACATCTGTTAAATTTGGATTTGAACATTGAATTTCAAAAGCATTATTATTATTGTTATTGTTATTATTATT